CCCCCCCCCCCCCGCCCCACAGTAGACACTCGCTGCCAGAACGCACCCCCCCAGCACCGCATACAAAATGTGCACTTTCCGGGGCATCCTCCCCCAATCTCTTCAGGCACTAACCTCCCCCACACACACAGGAAGGCAGTTCATATGAATGATCTAGACAAATAATTAACGTCGTTATTCACAACCAGGAACCCTCTTGGGGACATCCCAAGCCCCCCAACCTGTGCCTCCCCTGCCTCGGCCGCTCGTTGAGGGGGAAGGGCAAGAGGCTCACTCCATTACTCACCGTTTCCTCTCGGTCTCCCGAGCAGAGTGGGCAAGTGAGGGGGGTGAGGACGGTGCGCGATGCCCCCGCCGCCCGGCTCCTCACCGGCCGCAGCGCCTCATCGCCCCCGCGGGCTGCCCGCCGGCCGCAGCCGCGTCCGGGGCATGTCAGTTGGCCGCCGCCGCCCGCCTGCCGGAGCGCTTGGGCTCGCAGCTTTCAGGGAGCTGCGGGGCAGCGCATCTGGAGCGCGAGGGCTGGGGCCAGGGCAGGGGGCCTGGGGAGGGGTCCCTCAGCGCCGATTTAAGAAGGAGAGCAAACCCCCCCCCCCGAAGACCCCCGGAAAACCCCGACCCGGGGCGCGGGCTCGAGATGAAGCCCGGGAGAGCGAGGGGATCCCTGCCGGGAGGGGCAGAAAAGCGAGCAGCCTGGCGCGCCCTGGCGGCTCCGAGGGACCGCGGCTTGCAGTCGCGTCGCCGGGGCTTTCCCGGGGCTGGGAGCGCGCCGGCTCTCCGCCTCGCACGCCGTCACCGCGGGAGACGTCTCGGCCTCGCGGCGCGCGGAGGGGACGCGCGGAGGGGCTGGTTTCTGGGCGAGCCCAGAGCTTTGCCCATTAAGCTGCAGCAAGAAGCCAAATCAAAAAGCCAATCTCCAAGCCTCCCAGCCGAACGTCACCCTATCAGCTGGGAGAGAGAGCGCTGCACGGGATGACAAGCCGCGCATATTTATCCTCGCGCGCCGAGGGGGGAATTTTCAGATCGCCTTCCGACCAGCAGCGGAAAGTCAAGCTTGCACCTCGCGTCCAGAGAACCCCCGAGGACCGAATGCAGACGGAACCCCTAGCCCGCGGCCACCCACCCAATCGTTGGAGCCTGACGCCCGGCGCCTCCCGGCCAGCGGCAGTTCCAAGACGGCGGCGCGTCCTGACCTGGATTCCGCGCAGTCCGGAGCTCCGGGCAGCAGGCGGGGAGGGCGGCCTGGCGGGCGGGCGCGCAGCACCGGCTTTCCCCTTGTCCTCAGGAGACGCCGCCTGCAATTCCGAAATTAAGTCTCCACCAAACACATCTGTGGTTTTTAAATATAGCAGGGGACGATTACCCAGGCAGGGTCCACCCAGGCCTAGGGGAGGAGTTGAGGGGGATGGAGGTTGGCAGTGGAGGGAAAATAAAACTCCTTTTTACCCCCTCTTTTTTTCTTCTGTTCTTGGTGCAGAACTCAGTCTGTCATTTTCTCAACCCAAATCAAACAACAGCTTGTGAGAGACGCTTGGGTGAGCGCTGGTATGTTGGCTTTTGGGTTTTTAAGGCTAAAAATAAGAGGGGGCTGTCTCCCAAATTGCTGCTTACTCTGGGCCTGGAGCCTGGAAGAGAGATGGTCCTTTGATGCAGCAGCAGGACTAGGGTTTGGGGCTTGGCTCAAGCGAAGTGTACACACGTAGCCTTACATCAGATGCCTGTAATTTCTGCTATATTTGTCAGGCTTGGTCCTGGAGGCATGAGGGGTGGGCAGGCCTCCCCAAGAAGGGGGTTTCACTCCCTAGTTTATGGATAGCATTAGGCAGATCTAAAAGGAGCATGGTGGCTGGCCTTTCCTAGAGACACCAGTACAGCTTCTGGGACAGAATAGAAGGTGGGAAGTTGTTCCTCTCAGGCCTCTGCTGCCTGAAGCCAAGTATGAGGGGCCGACAAACCAGAATGATGTTTAGCAAGTATCAGCACTTCCTAGGGTCAGGCGCCCTGCTAATGAACTTGAATGTATTATTTCACATCATTCCTCATAAAACTCTCTGAGATAGGTACAATTACTAACTCCATTTTTCTGTTGAGGAAATTGAGGCTTAAAGAGGTTAAATAACCATTCCAAGGCCGCATGCAGCAACACCGAGGACTGGAATAAGGTGGAACCAACTGGAGTTTTGCTGATAAACACAACAGTATGTGCGACTTCCTGGATCGCTAGGCCCGTTGAAGAGCTGCTCTGGAACAAGGTTTGCTCCGAAGAGATTAAGTGGGCATGGAAGTTAGAGAGTATCTGAGCCTGGGATGGCCTAAGTTCTTTCCTGGTCCCTTGACTCAATGTGGCTTCAGCAAATCACGTGGTGGTTTCTGTTCTAAGGTTGAATCCTGGATGTACTCCTAACTGAGCCCTGGGATCTCAGATCCCTGAACACTTATGGGCCTTGAATTCAGCTAAAGTTAGGGCTGAGACACTGACCCTGCAAGATTTCAGTAACTTCTAAAGCTGTGGGATTTCAGGATATGTCAACTGGTAAGATTTACCTTGTGTTTGTTTCCATGGAGATCCATGATGCTGATTAGTCTACAGTCAAGACTCAGAGATGGGCTGGTGGGCGCCTAAGTTGGTGTAGCCTTTTGGGAGGGCAATTTTGAAAGATGTATCAAATTCTTTAAAAAATGTGCAACTCTTTTGACCCAGTAACTTTACTGGTAGAAATTTATTCTATGGCAATAATTAAGGATGTGCTCAAATACTTAGTTACAAGGATATTCATGGTAGTGTTTATAATAGTGAAGAATTGGAAACATCTTAATTTTCCAACAGAGAGAATTGGTAGAGAAGATCGTGTTACATTGCCATGATGGTGTATTCTACCATTATACAAATGCTGATGCGGCATTCCGTATTGTGATGCGGAAAGGCTTTCATGATGTGTTATTGAGAAAGAGAAAAAAACAGAAAATAGAGTGTGATACTGTGTGTTTGTGTGTGCGTGTGTGCAAGCACACACATGTGCACCCTGGCAGCAGAAAAACACCAAAATGGCAATAATGGTTATCTTTGGGTGGTGTGATTACTGGTGATTTATTTTTCTTTTTATTTATTCTTTTTTTAAAGATTTTATTTTTTTCCTTTTTCTCCCCAAAGCCCCCCGGTACATAGTTGTATATTCTTCGTTGTGGGTTCTTCTAGTTGTGGCATGTGGGACGCTGCCTCAGCGTGGTCTGATGAGCAGTGCCATGTCCACACCCAGGATTCGAACCAACGAAACACTGGGCCGCCTGCAGAGGAGCATGCGAACTTAACCACTTGGTCATGGGGCCAGCCCCTTATTTTTCTTTTGAAATCAATGTCATCGAGGTATAATTTACATGCAATAAAATTCACCTGTTTTAAGTGTACAGGTTGATGAGTTTTGACAAAAGTACGTATGACAACCACAATCAAGATACAGAACATTTTCATCTCCCTCAAAAGTTCTCTCAGGCCCCTTTGCAGTTACCCCCCTCCCCTCAAGCAACCAATGATCTGTTTTCTATCCCCATAGGTAAGTTTTTCTTGTTCTAGAATTTTCTTCTTTTGCCTGTTTATATCTGTTGATATTTTTTCAGTGAACATACCTATTTGCTAAAACAACCACAACAGCAGCAGTAAAAACAGAATTTTCTTCGAAGAACTGCCAAAAAACCAACGGGAGCCTCAACTTCATCTTGTCACCTGCAGCAGGACATTGCCAGGTAGGAAGGTGGGAGGTGAGGGAGGTGTCGAAGCCGGTTCAGCCATTGCTACAGGCAGAGCGACTCGTGTGGGTTCTCTAAGTTCCAGGTGGACTGAAATAACCAAACCCGACTCTGCATTCTGAGCCTCCCTGTCCTCACCAGCAAAATGGAAGTGATAATAATCACAACAGTAATATCCATCTTATGGCGTTGTTGTCAGGGTTCAGTGAGGTTACAGTTTCCAGTATAGAATAATTCCCCCAAACATGTTAATTCTCTTTCTTTCTCCCTCCTAACCCTGCTTCTCTCCCACTGTGAGTTCTACAACCAACTTTGTCCTTTCAGCACTAGACAGAGTGTCACTTTTTTCTCTACTGCATGCATACAGGGTTGGAAGACAGTAAAGTTGATGACAATCTGCCTTCAGTTTCGGCTATTGTCTGTTCCTTTGTTTCTGGTTGTGACAGAACTCAAGGGGATTTTCACAACAAGAAAGCCAGCAACTGAGCTGTTTTTCATCAGCATTAGGAGCAAGAACCACAAACTGCATTTTTAAGTTGGGAGGAAACTGAGGCTCGGATGTGCCTGCGAAGACGTAATTAAGTTAAAATGGGCTCGTTAGGGTGGGCCCTCATTGAATGACCAGTGTCCTTATAAGAAGAGGACACAGACAGGTAGACAGAGGGAAGACCACGCGAAGGCACAGCGAGAAGGCAGCCTTCTGCAAGCCCAGGAGAGAGGCCTCCGAAGAAGCCACAGCTGCCGACACTTGATCTTGGACTTCTAGCCTCCAGACTGTGAGAAAATAATTTCTGCTGTTTAAACGACCCAGTCTGTGGGATTTTTTTTTCTGGCAGCCCTAGCAATCTAAGACAGAATCCAAGTCTTCTGGCTGCTTCTATGAGGCCTTGTTTATATTCCAACTTCAAGGAGTTACCTGGGGTTATTTGGAAGCTTGAAACATCCTAGACTTTATAATCTAACAAAAAGGAAGCAAGGAAACGGGCTTTTATCGAATGCCTGCTGTGACCCTGTGCGATGTACTTTTACACGTGTTATTTCACTCAGTAAATATTTGTGGAACACATTCTGTGCGCCAGATACTGTGGTGCTGGGGATACGGCTGTGAACACTGAGGATAAAATCCCTGCCTTCAGGGAGCCTACATTCTAAAGGAAGAAGCAGATGATGAAAATAAACAAACAAAATACACAGGGCATGGCACATCATAAGCGCTATGGAGAAAATATAACGCAGGGGAGAAGGAAAGGGGGTGGGGACTGCTGAGGAAGGAGGAGAAATTGTCAGATGTTTTTAATTAAAGAAAGTCAGAGAATTTGTCCTGGAAGCTTCAGTGAGAAAGTGACAGTTGAGCCAGAGCCCGAAGGAGGGAGGAAGAGAGCCTGAGGGAAGAAAGTCCCAGAACAGCAAGTGTCAAGGCCCTGAAGTAGAAGTGTATCAGACCTGTTCAGGAAAAATTATTTTTTTAAACTGCCTCCAGAGGAGTGCATACTGTCCCTTTATCTAGAGAAGAAGAGATCTCAGATGGCTGAAGTGACTCCCATTAAGGTCACACAGGCAGAAGCAGGTAATGCTTTTCTTTCTCCAGAGGCTGGCAGCACGATGCGGCGAGTGGAATGAACAGTGAGAAAGGGCCACGTGTCTTCTCAGTTATGCCCCATTATTTGCCATTATGCCCAGAACTCCACAAGTCGGTGCCTCACCAAAGATGGGGCCTCGGGCACTTCCCAAGGAGCAGCCCTGCCTGCCTTTGCTGCCATTAGCTCTGCGTTCCACACAAGCCACAGGGCTGCTTGTCACAGACGCCCCTGTCCCCAGGTGCCAGCATTTCCACAGCCCCGGACTGTGCAATCTGATAGCAGTTAAGAAGAGGCGAGAGCAGACAATCAAGTTGAAGATAAGTGTTTAATAAGCAACATTTGATAATAGGATCGTTTAGTGAGACATAATTCTTCCCTATGGATTATATAATTTTTAACCCTCTTATAACTTGTATTTCCAAAATTTGTCACTTAATTATTTTTCTGTTTTTTCACTAATAAAATTATTTGTTGAAGTAAAACACACATACAAACAAGTGTACAAGTCATAAATATAAGCTCAAAGAATTTTAACAAAGTGAAGACACGTCGTGTAATCAGCACCCAGAACAATGAATATTAGCGGTGTCCCAGGTACTCCTCTGGCGCCCCGCCCAGTCACACTCCTCCTCTGCAAAGGTAAATACTCTCCTGATTTCTAAAACCGTGTATGAGATTTATGTGACTTTGAACTTTATATAAATGGAAGCATAAAATGTACTGTTGTGTCTGCTTGACATTATGTGTGTAAGGTTTATCCATATTGTGTGTCCCAGTGGTTTTGTTATTTTTCACTGCTGTAGTGTTTCCATTGAATGAACACGCCACCATTTAACTTTTCCTTCTGCTCTTGATTGCCGTCCATGTTGCTTCCAGCTTTTTATTATTTTGAATAGTGCTGCTATGATATTTGCATACATGTCTTTGGTTCACATGTGTATTCACTTCTCTTGGGGGTATACTCAGGAATGGACTCCCTGGCTCATGAGGTATGTGAATATGCAGCTTTAATTGATAATGACAGTTTTCAGTTGTTTGTCCCAATTTACACCTCCCCCACCCCAGCATTGTTGCATCACATTCTTGTCAACACTTAGTATTGTTAATCTGTTTAACTTTAGCCATTCTGGTGAGTGTGCATTTAACTTTAATTTGTGGTTTTCATTTGCATTTTCCTAGTGACTATTAAAGTGAGAACTTTTTCATACGTGTATTGGCTTTGGGATATCCTCTCTTGTTAGGTATCTGTTCAAGTTTGTTGCTTATTTTTCTGTGGGCTTGTCTGTCTTTTTCTTATTGACCCATGGGGGTTCTTTACATATTCTGGATATGAGTCCTCTGTTACATGCATTGCAAATATCTTCTCCCAATCTGTGGCTTGCCTTTTCATTTTCTTAATTGTGACTTTTTTTAAAGATTTTATTTTTTTCCTTTTTCTCCCCAAAGCCCCCAGGTACACAGTTGTATATTCTTCATTGTGAGTCCTTCTAGTTGTGGCATGTGGGACGCTGCCTCAGCTTGGTTTGATGAGCAGTGCCATGTGGGTGCCCAGGATTCGAACCAACGAAACACTGGGCCGCCTCCAGCGGAGTGCACGAACTTAACCACTCGGCCACAGGGCCAGCCCCCTTAATTGTGTCTTTTGATGAATAAAAGTTCCTAATTTTAATGTAGTACATTTATCATTTTTTTCTTTATCCTAAGTGCTTTATGATTCCTGTTCCTTTGTCTATCCAAGGTCATCAGGATATTTCTTATTTTTTTAATCATTCAAATTTAGATCTGCAATTCTCCTGAAATCGCATTTTTGTATTTAATGTGAAGTAGGGGTACAATTTCATTTTTTTCCCCTATGGATATGTAAATAACCCAGTACAATTTATTGAAAAGAGATCATTTCACCTGAAATGTCACCTTTGATATAAACCAAGTGTTTGTGTATGTATGGGTCTGTTTATGGACTCACTGTTTTATTGGCTTATTTTTCTATTATTTTATTCACATCATATTGTCTTAATTACTGTAGTTTATGAGAAATCTTGATATCTAGTAAGATGAGTGTATTTGCTTTGTTCTTCCTGAGTATCTTGGTTATTCTTGGCCCTTTGCAATTACACATAAATTTTAGAATTAGCTCATCAGTTTTCACGAAAAAACCCTGCTGAGATTTTAATTAAGATTACACTGAATCTGTAGATCAATTTGAAGAGAATTGACATCTTTGCAGTATTGAGTCTTTGACCCATGAACGTGGGTTATTTATTTATTTAGATCATCTTTAATTTCTATCACTAATATTAAAAAATTTTTAATGTATAGCTCTTGCACATGTTTCTTTAGATTTACTCATAGGTATTAAGGCTTTGTGATGCCAAGTAAATGGTATTGTTTTCCTTTTGTTATTAAATAAATTTTATGTTAAATTGTTTTTTATGCTAAATAAAAATACAATTGATTTTTGTATACTGACTTTGTGTACAGTGGCATTGCTAAATTTACCTTTAATTCTAATAGTTTATTTGTAGATTTTGTTTGTTTTTCTCATACATGACCATGTTTGCAAATATCTTCTTTTCAGATCTTTTATTTTGCACTGGCTAAGATCTCAAATACAATGATAAATAGAAGTGGACACAGTGGAAATGTCTTTCTTTCTTGATCTTAATGGAAATGTTTTAATATTTTCCTGTTAAATATGATGTTTGCTATATGTTCTCTGTAGAAAATCTATATGATATTAAGGAAGTTCCCTTCGATTTCTAGTTTCTTAAGATTTTTTAAAAAATCACAAACTGTCTTGAATATTATCAAATGCTTTCTTTGCATCCCTTGAGATGATTGTATGAAATTTTTCTTAATCTGTTAAAATGGTAAATTATATGGACTCATTTTCTAAAGTTAAACCAAGTTTACATTCCTGAAATCAAGTTCTATTGTTTGTGATGTATTATCCTTTTATGTGTATTACTTATAATTTGTTAAGTATTTCTGTACATGTATTCATGATAGAGATTGGTCTGTAATTTTCTGCTTGTAATATCCTTGTCAGATTTTGGTGTCAAGGTTTTCTGGCCTCATCAAATGAGTTGGGAAGTATTACTTTTTCTCTATTTTCTGGAAGAGTTTCTGTAACATTGGCAAAGCCAATCTGGAGTTTTTTTATGTGAGAAGATTTTTCAATAGAGTATTCAATTTCTTTAATAAATTGTATTAGTTTTTTATGGCTGCTGTAACAAATTACAACAAAGTTTGTGGCTTAAAAGCAAATTTATTATCTTGTAGTTCTGTAGGGTAGAAGTCCACATGGGTCTCAATGGTATTGGCAGGGCTGCATTTCTTTCTTTTTTAAGAAAATTATTTTATTTAGGTCATATTGGCTTATAACATTGTGTAAATTTCAGTTTCTGTATAGACTGCCTCGTGTTCACCACCCATAGTCTAGTTGTTACTCATCACCATGCACATGTGCTTCTTCACCCCTTTTTGCCCTTCTGCTACACCCTTCCCCTCTGGTAGCTACCAATTTGTTCTCCTTATATATGTATTTGTTTATATTCCACAAATAAGTGAAATCATGCATTTGTCTTTCTCTGACTTATTTTGCTTAGCATAATACCCTCAAGGTCCATCCATGTTGTCACAAATGGCATGATTTTGTCCTTTTTTATGGCTGAGTAGTATTCCATTGTGGATATATACCACATCTTCTTTATCCATTCATGCATTGATGGGCACTTGGGTTGCTTCTACATCTTGGCTATTGTGAATATGCTGTGATTAGCATAGGGGTGCACATGTCTTCTTTGAATTATTGATTTCATGTTCTTTAGATAAATACCCAGTAGCTGAATAGCTGGATCATATAGTGTTTCTATTTTTAACTTTTTGAGAAATCTCCATACTGTTTTCCACAGTGGCTGCACCAGTTTGCATTCCCACCAGCAGTGTATGAATGTTCCCTTTTCTCCACATCCTCTCCAACAGTTATTATTTCTTATCTTGTCAATTATAGCCATTCTGACAGGCATGAGGTAATATTTCATTGTAGTTTTGATTTGCATTTCCCTAATAAATAGTGCTGTTGAACATCTTTTCTTGTGTCTGTCAGCCATCTGTATATCGTCTTTGGAAAAATGTCTGTTCATATCCTTTGCCCATTTTTGGATCAGGTTCTTCATTTTGTTGTTGAATTGTATGAGTTCTTTATCTATTTAGGAAATTAACCCCTTGTTGGATATATGATTTGCAAACGTTTTTCTCCCATTTGGTGGGTTGTCTTTTTGTTTTGTTCATGGTTTCCTTTGCCATGCAGGAGCTTTTTAGTCTGATGTAGTCCCATTTGTTAATCTTTCCTTCTGTTTCCCTTGCCTGAGTAGGCATGGTATTCGAAAAGAAACTGCTAAGATGTCAAAGAGTGTACTGCCTATGTTTTCTTCCAGGAATTTTCTGGTTTCAAGTTTTATCTTCAAATCTTTAATCCATTTTGAGTTATTTTTGTGTATGGTGTAAGATAATGGTCTACTTTCATTCTTTTGCATGTGGCTGTTCAGTTTTCCCAACGCCGTTTATTGAAGAGACTTTCCTTTCTCCTTTGTATGTTCTTGGCTCCTTTGTTGAAGATTAGCTGTCCATAGATGTGTGGTTTTATTTCTGGGCTTTCAGTTATGTTCCATTGATCCGTGTGTCTGTTTCTCTACCAGTACCATGCTGTTTTGCTTACTATAGCTTTGTAATATATTTTGAATTCAGGGAGTGTGATACCTCCAACTTTGTTCTTTTTTTCTTTTTTTTAAAGATTTTATTTTTTTCTTTTTCTCCCCAAAGCCCCCCGGTACATAGTTGTGTATTCTTCGTTGTGAGTCCTTCTAGTCGTGGTATGTGGGATGCCGCCTCAGCGTGGTCTGATGAGCAGTGCCATGTCCGCGCCCAGGATTCGAACCAACGAAACACTGGGCCACCTGCATCGGAGCGCGCGAACTTAACCACTCGGCCACGGGGCCAGCCCCATAGATTTTATTTTTTTCCTTTTTCTCCCCA